AGCAGATACCCATCTCGGGGGATGGTTCGGATGGCTTAAGGTGGAGACTTACATCATCGGGTGTGTTTTCTACTACCTCGGCTTGGGAGCAGATCAGGCTGAGAGATCGGCCTAATCTTCTTATCGGAGCCATCTGGAGCGATCTTTTAACCCCTACCATTTCAGTGTTCCTTTGGCACCTCCTCTTGCGCCGGATACCCTTGGATACTTTGTTACACGCGAGGGGGATCTCCTTCCCCTCTCGGTGTGTGTGTTGTTCTGAGGCTGGACGCCATGAGACCGAGACCTTTACACACCTTTTTCTAGAGAGTGAGACTTTGAGGAGAGTGTGGGAGCACTTTGCCACCTACACCCATATATCCCTACCCACCACAAACAGTTTCTTTGAACGCCTAAGTTTCTTCTCACTGAGCACACAACTTAGATACGTGGGCTTCCTCATTCCTTGTCTGATCCTTTGGTTCACCTGGACATAGAGGAATAGTGCGAAGCATAGGAATATTACTTTTTTGCTTTCTCACATTGTTTTGCAGGTAGAGACACACCTTTCACTCCTCATAGCTTTGGGCAGGCTGACGACCCGAGACTGGACAAGCTACACGCCACCACACCGCTACATGGTGGCTCCCCCACCGCATGTTCGGCCCCCTCGGGCTAGAGCTATTGTTCGTTTCGACCCGAATCTCCTTGGGTCAAGCTAAACACTGATGGTTCTTTTGATCGCCATACCGAAGCTGCCAGAGGAGGAGACTTGATCCGGGACTATAGCGGCGCCCTCACCACCGCCTTCCACACGCCTGTGATGAACGGCGAAGAAGATGGTCGTGAAATTACCGAGGTCGCTGGGAATGAGAAAAAAGAGGAAGCTTTAGGGTTGGAGAATGGAACGGAGAAGACGAAAATGGGAATTGATTGAACTTTGTCTTATTTATCTCTGTTGGGTTTATTTTAGCAGATTGAAGTTAAGTTTGGGTTTAGTTTTATTTTATTATGGGCTATATTTTAGTATAAGGTAATGGGCTTAGTAAGTTGTAAGGGTTTAGGCCCATTTGAGAAGTATTATTTGTAATGTGGATCTGTGAAAGAAAGGCAACGAGAATATCATTTTCCAATTAATTTCTCTCTCTTCTCGATCTCTTTCTCTCGTTATTCTCTCATGATCATCTTCTTCACTTTCCCTACACATTCCTTCTAAAATGACAGAAAAATATCTCAAAAAATACAAAAATACAACAACCCATTACAATTGGTATCTCAGAGCTTCCGATCCTGGATCATGGCCAAGAATACGCGCATGAAAGACCTGCAAGAGCATCAAAAAAGATTGGATCAGATTAACATATTGAGTCTATGAAAAGAGAGGCAGTTGAAGTAAAACTACATGAACAAATGATGGGGATGGGTTCTGAATTTCAGGATAAAATTTCGCACATCAACAATGAGTTGCAGCAACAAATAGGTAACCTGGACATCAAATATGACCACATGGCTAGTGTGCTTGCAACCATTCAGGCACAGTTATAGAATCTGAGCAAAGGAAAGGAAATTAGAAGTGAAGGATCTATTCTGGGTACACCCCCTATGCAACAATCCGCAAGTGGAACACAACAGTTCAAACAACACCACATGGGAAGAACCCCTCTGCAACTGGACAACACCACATCAAATCACATCATCAATCCCTTACCTAAAGTGGATTTCCCTAGGTTTGATGGGTCAAATCCCAGAGGGTGGATACTCAAGTTCCATGGATATTTTCAAATATTTCCTAACATTCCTGATGCACAGAAAGTTGTGCTAGCTTCTATGCACTTTGATGGGAAAGCAGCTCAATTGTATCAAAAATTCTGTACCAGATTAGGTGAATGTAATTGGCCACAGTTTCTGGAGGTAATTTCCTCCAGGTTTGAAGAAATCAGGGAATCAAAAATCATTGGTGAATTCAATAAGTTAAAACAGTCAGGATCTTATGAGGACTATGTGGAAAAATTCGAAGAGTTGAGGTCTTATATGTTGCTGTTCAACATAGCAGATTTCTTTGAGGATTATTTTGTGGCCAGCTTCCTGAGTGGACTAAGTGATGAAGCTCAGTCTTTCATCAACATGTTTGACCCCAAAACTTTGCAACAAACCATTGAACATGGGAGGAAACAACAATGCACAGTGGAGGCAATAGTAAAGAAAGCTAAGGTACCTCAAAGGTTCCCAAATCAGTTTTCAAACACCAGGAGAGTTGAAAACCCAGCTGTTAGAACACCAAATCCGATTGGCCAATATAAACCACCTGTTAAAATGCTCACAGCTCATGAAATGACTGCAAGGAGGGAGAAGGGTCTGTGCTATAATTGTGATGAGCCTTATGTGGCTGGGCACAGGTGCAAAATCAGGATCACTTATATGATCATGTCTGAAGAAGAAGAAGAGATTAATTATATGAGTATGGGGGAAGCTGAGGATATAAAAGACACTGTGGACATTGAAGAAATCCATATGTCTCTAAACTCTCTAACTGGAGAACAAAACTTAACCACCATGAGATTTACTGGGAAATGTAATGGGCACAAATTGCATATTCTCATTGAATCTGGGAGTACAATGAGTTTTATTCAAGAAGCTACTGCATACAAATTAGGTTATCCACTTCAACAAGCTAAGCCTGTCATGGTCAGGGTAGCAAATGGGCAGAAAATGTTAAGTACCAAGAAGATGGATGGTTTCAAATGGGGCATGCAAGGTCACCAGTTCAGCTATTTTATGAGATTGTTACAAACTGAAGGATGTGATCTTATTCTGGGAGGAGATTGACTAAAACATTGCACACCAATAGAACTGGATTATGACAAAATGAGAGTCACAGTTACCCTGCAAAAGAAGAGGATCAAGCTGCAAGCCAACACTTCCAACTGGGATTGTAATTTTATCTCAGGAGAAGCCTTATTCAAAATGGTGCAGCAAGAATGCAACCAAATAGAGGAGATTTTTTTCTGTTGTCCATGGAGGAAGACAACCAGATGATAAACCCTAAACTACAAGAATTACTGTCTTCTTTCCAAGACATTTTCCAGGAGCCACAAGGACTGACACCTGAAAGGGGAATCGAGCACCAAATTATTCTTAAGGCTGATAGCACTCCAAAGCATCAGTTTCCTTATAGAACTTCTCATGCTCAAAAAAATGAAATTGAAAATCTGGTCAAGGAAATGTTCGAGGCAGGGATAATTCAACACTCTAAGAGTCCTTTTGCATCTCCTGTAATCTTGGTGAAGAAGAAAGATAACACTTGGAGGATGTGTGTTGATTATAGGTATCTAAATGGACTCACTGTTAAGCATGATTATCCAATACCTATCATCGATGAGCTACTGGATGAAATGCATGGATCTAGGTATTTTTCAAAAATAGACCTAAGGTCCGGGTATTTTCAAATTCTAATGAAGCCTGAACACAGGGGACTTACAGCTTTTGCTACTCATAATGGCCACTATGAGTTCCTAGTTATGCCTTTTGGCTTATGCAATGCACCTGCCACCTTTCAATCGTTGATGAATCAAGTGTTCAGGCCTTATTTGAGGAAATTTGTGCTGGTTTTTATTGCTGATATATTGGTTTATAGCTCCAGCTGGCAGGAGCATTTGGAACATTTGGAGGCAGTATTAAGGCTGCTAAGGGAAAACCAGTTGTATGCCAAATTATCCAAGTGCCAATTTGGCCAAACTGAAGTGGAGTACCTCGGGCAAATCATTTCCTACCAAGTTGTGTCTACAGATCCAAAGAAAATCACAAGCATGTTGACCTGGCCTACTCCTAAAAATTTCAAACAAATTTCAAACAACTCAGGGGCTTCTTAGAGTTAACTGGTTATTACAGAAGGTCCATAAGGGGGTATGGTGTAATTTGCAAGCCCATGACTAACATATTGTAAGGGGACAAGTTATTTTGGACTACTCAGAAGAAGCATTCTTGCAGCTCAAAGAAGCCTTGACCACAGCCCTTGTCCTGGCTATGCCATATTTCACACAACCCCTGATCCTTGAGACAGATGCATGTGGCACTAGGGTGGGTGCTGTACTTATGCAAAAAGGTAGACCAATTGCTTACATGAGCATGGGCCTATGCCAGAAAAATAAAGCTCTCTCAATCTATGGGAGAGAATTCTTAGCAGTTCTTATGGCTGTTCAAAAGTGGAGGGGTTATCTGATGGGCCACAAATTTGTCATTAAGACAGACCAACAAGCTCTAGAATACCTACTGGATCAGAAGTCTATGAACCCTATGCAGCAAAAGTGGATCATAAAACTTTTGGGTTTGGACTATGAGATTATGTACAAGAAAGGCATTGACAATAAGGTAGCCGATGCTCTCTCAAGGAGAATTAATCCTGACATGGATTGCATGGCTATTACCATAGTCAAGCCTCTGTGGATACAAAGGGTCATAGACAACTACACAAATGACCCTTTCTGCTAAAGATCCTGCAATCACAATCCTCGAGTGGAAATTCTTATCCAGGTTTCACTGTACAAGGTGATCTTATAAGATACAAAGGCAGGGTTCTAGTTGGTTCAGATGTGCTTCTAAGGGAGACCATCCTACATACAATGCACAATTCATCCTATGGAGGGCACTCTGGGGTTAATGGCACTTATATGAGGATCAAAGGGAGTTTCTACTGGCCATTGCTAAAGAAAGATGTTATGGCTTTGGTTAAATCTTGTGAGGTATGCAAGAAAAACAAACCAGAAGCTGGAGCCTACCCAGGGCTATTGCAACCCTTGCCCATTCCCAACCAGGCCTGGACCCACTTATCTATGGATTTTATAGAAGGACTGCCCAAATCACAAGGTAAAAATGTCATTCTGGTGGTGGTGGACAGGTACTCTAAGTATGCACATTTTTTGCCTCTTTCATACCCTTTTACTGCTCAGGATGTGGCTAAAGTTTTCCTAGAATCTATCTACAAACTACATGGACAGCCCCTAAGCATTGTTACTGATAGGGAGATGGTGTTTACCAGCTACTTTTGGAAGGAGCTTTTCAAGATGATGGGGGTGAGCTTGGACATGATTTCAGCTTACCACCCCCAATCAGATGGCCAAACAGAAAGAGTGAATCAGTGTGTGGAGACTTATCTCCGCTGTATGGTTTATGAGAACCCTAAACATTGGCTGAGATGGCTCAGTCTAGCTGAATTTTGGTATAATACCAATTTCTACACCAGCCTGAAGCTAACACCTTTTCAGGTTCTCTATGGCTACCCCCTTCCCAATTTCACTATTGGCCCGTTCCTAGATACTTCTAATGCATATGCACATGAAATCATTCAGCAAAGGCAACTAATTTCTCAGCAAGTCAAAGAAAATATCCAAAAAGCACAGCACAGAATGAAAGGAAAGGTAGATCTCAAAAGCTTACCATCGACTGAGCTGCCCGATACAGATGCGGATGGTCACTTCAAGATCTTGCCTTTATGCATTCTCGATACTCGTGTCATCCATTGGAAGAGTGTCGCCGTCCATCAATCTCTTGTGCGGTGGGCCAATGCAGATCCGTTGAAGCCGACCTGGGAAGATGACTCGTATCTACGTCGACAATTTGGGAATGTCGGATCTTGGGGACAAGCTTCGGACTCGGCCAAGGGTATTGTGATGAACGACAAAGAAGATGGCCGTGAAATTACTGAGTTCGCTGGGAATGAGAAAAAAGAGAAAGCTTTAGGGTTTGAGAATGGAACGGAGAAGACGAAAACGGGAATTGATTGAACTTTGTCTTATTTATCTCTGTTGGGTTTATTTTAGCAGATTCAAGTTAAGTTTGGGTTTAGTTTTATTTTATTATGTGCTATATTTTAGTATAAGTTAATGGGCTTAGTAAGTTTCAAGGGTGTAGGCCCATTTGAGAAGTATTATTTGTAATGCAATCTCTGAAAAAAAAGGCAACGAGAATATCATTTTCCAATTAATTTCTCTCTCTTCTCGATCTCTTTCTCTCTCTATTCCCTCATGATCATTTTCTTAACTTTCCCTACACCTTTCTTCTAAAATTACAGAAAAATATCTCACAAAAATACAACATCCCATTACAGCGTTTCTTCAGGCCTCCTCGAGCTACGACGCAGAGATTCAGGCATTACAGATTGGCCTTCAGATTGCTGTCGACCTTTCTAGTCATATTTAGATCGAGCTAAACGCTGCGGCTGTTGCCAACCTCTTGACGTCGGGTCACCAGGGTTCATGTCATATTCAGCACCCGTTTATGCGTATTAGAGATCTACTTCGGTCTGTCCATCACAGGATCACGCATATCTTCTGTGAGGGGAATAGACCTGCTGACTACCTTGCCAGTCTTGGCACCACCATACCAGACCCACATACGTTTCAGGCCGACACTGCTCCACTCCGCCTTTGCACGCTTGTACGGATGGACCAGCTTGGATACCCATCGTTCCGCTTTCAGTAGAATAGGTTTACTGCTTTCATTAGATTAGACTTTTATTCCAGGCACCTGTAGCCCGCAGACAGACTTTGTATTGATTTTTCTTTTTTGTTTTTTGTTTCGCTTGTGAAACTCTGTAGAATCTAGTCGGTTTATATTTTGGGCCCTCGGTTTCGCGTGTAAATCTATGCACAGGTTGGGGATCCAGCCTAATCCCCCACCCTTCTGGGGCGTTGTTTGTTTAAATAAAATAAATAACTAGAGGTTACCTAGAGATTTTTTAAGAACATATCACCGCTGAATACCTAGAGAATAAAATGCCTACAAACTACCAACAACTAAATAACTAGAGATTACCTAGACACTTCCCGGTATTCATCAACATCAAAATACCTTCAAGATTTTTATGACTTCAAAATTTTAGTGACCTACCATTCTCTTATCAGTTTAATACTCATTAAAGTTTACACCTCACAAGAATCGAACTAGAGATTACCTAGGGATTTCCCAATACACATTTACTACAACATACCTCGAGATTTTTATGATTGCAAAAAAATAATAACCTATCTGATGTGTTTTTGCACACTGGACCGGCTTCCCTTGAACCCAGCCGCTTGAGCCCTCCAAAACCTGCAAAGACACCGGGAAGTGTTCCCGACGGTAAACCTCCGACGCTCAAGTTAGTAGGGTATCGAGGAAAGTTCAGTCTGTATATTAGGGTTTTGTGCAGTAAAGAAACTTAGCCCTCTCATCATACCTGCTTTACCTATTTATATGCAAGTCCTTAACTTCTTCTCCACGCTTACTCCTTTATCCGCTGATATGATAACTACCCAGCCCATTTAAGTGTTAGCCCACTTCTTCAACCTACCTAACCCATTCACGTGGCCGACTTGTGATTGGGCCGAGGCCATTCATTGACAGACTATTGCATCTGATCGACCCACAATCCTGCAACATACTTCTAGCTCATAAACCGAGCTGATTTTTGCCGGTCTATTCCAAGTGCTCTCTTGTGCTACATCATCTAGTCCCCCATTATCAAATAAGCTGTTTGCGTAGATAGACTTGTTTGATAATTATTATTCCCATGCGCTTGCCAGAACAATGCATTTACTAAGCGATACCAGATTATCAAATCCGACCCTAACCAAGCCTTCTGCAACGTTACGCTAGCAGATGGATCGAGTCCTTAGTCGTGCAACTCATTGGCCCAAAATCCGACGGGCAAGTTATTCAAAGGCTTATTTACCACAAAAGCCTCACTAATTAATCAACTGCTCTACAGAGTAGCTCACACGCCATTTTACCGATCCGATGCGCTAGGCGACACACGATCCACGCAGATAAAGCGTGACCCAATCACACTGGTCGTTTGCCAGCAAACCCGAGCAGATGAATGCACCCTTCGCAATGAATGTCGGGCAGATAAAAATTACACGCTTCGCTACAAAATCCTAGCAGATAATTCGAACAATTCGTGTGCCCGTTTGGGCGAGCAGATGAGTACCGCGCAAACGAAAGCCGCGCAGAAGAATGCCGCGCAAATGTTCAAGACACCCCACCACACGGCTCGCTCAAAACCGTTTGGCCGGGCAGATAAATGCCGCGCAGATGAATGCCGCACAAATGTTCAAAACACCCCACCATACGGCTCGCTCAAGCCCGTTTGGCCGATCAGATGAATGCCGCGCAGATGAATGTGGCGCAGATTAATGCCGCGCAGATGTTCAGGACACCCCACCACACGGCTCGCTCAAAACCGTTTGGCCGGGCAGATGAATGCCGCGCAGGTGAGTGTCGCGCAGATGAATGCCGCGTAAATGTTCAAAACACCCCACCACATGGCTCGCTCAAGCCCGTTTGGCCGACCAGATGAATGACACGCAGATGAATGCCACGCAGATGAATGCCGTGCAGATGAATGCAGTGCAGATGAATGCCGCACAAATGTTCAAGACACCCCACCACACGGCTCGCTCAAAACCGTTTGGCCGGGCAGATGAATGTCGCGCAGGTGAGTGTCGCGCAGATGAATGCCGCACAAATGTTCAAAACACCCCACCACACGGCTCGCTTAAGCCCGTTTGGCCGAGCAGCTGAATGACGCACAGATGAATGCCGCGCAGATGAATGTCGCGCAAATGTTCAAGACACCCCACCACACGGCTCGCTCAAAATCGTTTGGCCAGGAAGATGAATGCCGCGCAGGTGAGTGCCGCGCAGATGAATGCCGCACAAATGTTCAAAAAACCCCACCACACGGCTCGCTCAAGCACGTTTGGCCGAGCAGATGAATGATGCGCAGATGAATGCCGCGCAGATGAATTCCGCGCAGATGAATGACGCGCAAATGTTCAAAACACCCCACCACACGGCTCGCTCAAGCCCGTTTGGCCGAGCAGATGAATGGCGCGCAGTTGAGTGCCGCGCAAATGTTCAAAACACCCCACCACACGGCTCGCTCACCACAAAAAACCGAGCACATGGACATGTCGTCTGTTCACACCCCATCACATGGCTCGCGCAGCTTGCTTGAACAAATCAATCCGCCTGGCCTGCCATTTCGCGAGCGTTGTTCTGCCCGGACAAATCAATCTGCTCGGGTTGTTATTTGCGAGCATCATTCTGCGCGGAATGCGCCCTCGAGCCTCAACTAACTCGAACAAATGCATTGGCTTGAGTATCTATTCACGAGGCTCACTCTGCTCAGAATTTATTCTATAAATCAGCATCGTCGTCTGCACGATATTGACAGCACCTGGGCTTATAAGGGCCCAGCCTTAAGCCATTACATCATTACTCACAGCGCCCAAACTTGCCAAAGTTTGGTCTTAAGCTGTCCATCCTTTAAATAGCACCCGAGCCGACCAGAGCTCGGCCTTAAGCCGTTATGTTAATTTGCACATCACCCGAAGTCACAAGAGCTCGGACTTAAGTCGTTATATTAATTTGCACAGCACCCGAACTCACAAGAGCTCGGACTTAAGCCGTTATATTAATTTGCACAGCACCAAGAAGACATGCCCAAACATGCTGCAAAACAGCTCACTCAAAGACAACTCCAAGTATCATGGGCGCAATCGACCAAATAACATACGATTAATCATAACTGAAAATGGCCGTTACTCAGCCGGAATATGTCTCCACATTATTACGTGAATAAATAATTTAACGTGCATCAAGAACGGATCACAGTTAAATAACTTTAACAATAATATTTCTTAAGGTGGGCAACATTCCAAGGACGGGGAAAGACCTTACCCTCCGAATCTTTCAGCGCATAAGCCCCCCAGCAAACACTTTATGAATGATATAAGGCCCCTCCCAATTTGGCTCCAATTTTCCAACGTGCTTAAGCACATCAGCTCTTCTCCAGACAAGGTCACCCACCTGGAACTGTCTTTTCTTCACCTTTTTAGCGTGAGCAAGACACATCTGCTGCTTGCACTGCACAGTCTTCAACCAGGCCCGATCTCGCGCTTCATCAATCAGTTCCAGTGCCTCCTTGACTAACTCCTCATTTTGAACTGACTCAAAAGTGGTTATCCTCTGGGATCCAAGGCCGATTTCCACCAGGATCACGGTCTCCATCCCATACACCATGCTGAAGGGCGTTTCTCCTGTTGTGGACCTTGGCGTAGTTCGGTACGCCCAAAGCACTGTGTCAAGCTCATCCACCCATGCACCAGAAGCTATGCCAAGCCTGGTCTGCAACCCTCTTAATATGGTCCTGTTGGCCACCTCAGCCTGCCCGTTTGCTTGTGGATGCGCTACGGATGCAAAATGCTGCTTAATGCCCATCTCTTCACACCAACCCATTATCTTCCTTCCCCGAAATTGCGGGCCGTTATCAGAAACTAGAACCCGCGGGATGACATACATGCAACTAACGTTAGTAAACAAGAATTTGATGACTTTCTCCTCAGTGATTCTGGCCATTGCCTCCGCCTCCACCCATTTGCTGAAGTAGTCCACCAAAACCAGCAAAAACTTCCTCTGACCGGAGCCTTGTGGGAAAGGCCCTACTATATCCATCCCCCATTGAGCAAACGACAGGGGTGAGCTCATCGGAGTTAACTCCTCCGCTGGTACATGGACGAGTTGTCCATGCTGCTGACATTTCACGCATTTCTGGACTAACTCCCTTGCCATAGCTCTCATGGTTGGCCAAAATTATCCAGCTCTTAGCGCCTTACCCACCAAGGCCCGAGCCTTAATGTGATCTCCGCAACAACCCTCATGGATTTCCCTGAGCACGTAATCACCCTCTTCCTCTGAGACACACCTCAGATGTGGCCCCAAATATGATCTCTTGAACAACACTCCCTATTGGACGAAACATCTCAAGGCCCTTCGACCTAATTTGTCGCCCCGAACATCCCGTTGTCCCAACCCTGCTTGCGTCAGCCAATGCCGTATGGGGCTTCTCCAATCTTCCTTTTCCTCTATTTCCATAACTCCTTCCAAAATGCTAGACCCTATTAGCAACAGAGTTACTGAGCGTGACTTGCAATACACTAGTGAGGCTGCCACTTTAGACAACAAATCAGATCGCCCATTATTCTCCCTTGGTATCTGCACAAGTTCCCAAGACTCGAAACCCTTGGCCAACGCTCGTGCTTCCTCCGCATACTTCAGCATCCTATCTTCTTTAGCTTCGTATTCACCCTTCATCTGCTCCACCACAAATTGAGAATCTGAGTGAATAACAACTCTCCTGGCTCATACGCCCGTCACTAGCTGCATGCCCTTCAACAACACTTCATACTCTGCCTCGTTATTTGAGGCTCTAAAAGTGAGCTTTACGGCATCTCCATCGGCTCTCCTCCTGGTGGCAAGATTAGGATCCCAATACCGGCCCCTACTTTAGTCTAAGAGCCATCCACGAAGACCTCCCACACTCCCGGATCACCTTCCATTGTACCCTCCTGAATAAAATCCGCTAATGCTTGCGCCTTAATTGCCTTCCTTGTCTCGAAACTAACATTGTACTCCCCCAGCTCGACTGCCCACTTCACCATCCTGCCAGAAGCTGACGGTCTGCCTAATGTCTCCTTCAAAGAGAAGTTTGTTCGCACCATGAACAGATGCGATAAGAAATAAGGCCGCAACTTCCTTGTCGTAACAATAAGAGCTAATGCCGCTTTTTCCACCTCCGAGTATTTCATCTCAGCCCCTTGCAACAATCGGCTGACGTAGTAAATAGGCTGCTGTCCACCCCCTTCCTCCTTCAACATGACCGAACTTACAGCCACCTTTCCCATCGAAAGATATAAAATCAGCATATCCGTTGGGTCCGGTTTGGTGAGCAGGGGTAACTCAGCCAAGAACTGCTTGAGCCTAGTAAAGGCTTCATGTGCCTGCGTGGACCACTGAAAACGCGCCCCTCGTCGGAGAGCTCGAAAGAAAGGCAAACTCTTCTCTACTGCATGGGCTATGAACCGGCTGAGCCCTGCCAAACGGCGCGTGAGAATTTGCACTTCCTTTATATTTCTAGGCGGCCGCATTTCGAGCACCGAACTGATAGCTATTTCGAATCAAGCTTGAGAAAAGATAGGCTTTTGCCTCCCTCACCTTCTCAGGATTAACTTCTACACCCCGCTCTGTAACCATATAGCCGAGGAACTTGCCTGACCTTACCCCAAACTTGCACTTCGTAGGGTTTAGCTTCATCTTGTATCGTCTCAACGTCTCGAAGATCTCCTTCAGATCCCTCACGTGGTCATCTGCTTTCCGGCTCTTAACCAACATGTCATCCACGTAAACTTCCATGTTTCTCCCCAACTGCCCCTCGAACATCATATCTACTAAACGCTGATACGTTGCCCCAGCGTTCCGCAGACCGAAAGGCATGACAATATAACAATAAGTCCCCTTAGAGGTAACAAAACTTACACGCTTCTGGTCCTCCTCAGCCAACGGTACTTGATGGTATCCCTGCGCGTCCATCATGCTCAACAGTTCGCAACCCGCAGTTGAATCCACCAATTGACCAATGCGTGGTAAAGGATAATGGTCCTTTGGGCATGCCTTGTTAAGGTCCCTAAAATTCGTGCACATACGCCACTTATTCTCTGCCTTCTTCACCATGACTCGATTCGAGAGCCATTCCGGGAATTGGATGGGTTTAATGTGGCCAGCCTGTAACAACTTCTCCACCTCCTTCTCGATAACAGCATCCAACTCCGTCCCAAAATATCTCCTTTTTTGCTTAACGGGACTCATATTGGTGTCAATGTTTAGCTTGTGCTCGGCCACTTTAGGGTCGATGCCTACCAATTCTCCCGTTGCAAATGCAAAAATATCAGCATACTCTCGTAGCAGTGCCACCAACTGCCCCTTGATAGGTTCTGCCGACTCCTTTCATACTCGCGTCACTTTCTCCTGCCCCCCTTCCACCAGAATGATCTCCATTAACTCATCTTGTGGAACCATCTCCCCTCTAGCTTCCTTCACCCTGCTCGGGCCTTCCTCCCCAATGTTAACTGGCTTCTCCTCCCTGTATTTCTTTTTATGACTTGCCTTCAACACAGTTTGGTAACAAGTCCTAGCCAACCGCTGGTCCCCCGTAACTTCACCTACCAGCTCGCCCACCGAGAATTTCATCTTCATGCAATACGTTGACACAGCCGCATGAAATGAGTTTAGGCTAGGCCGCCCCAAAATAACATTGTAGGCTAAA